CTGGTACACTAGTACTACAGAGGGTTGGCACACTAGTACTGCATCACAGGCTGGTATACTAGTGCTACAGAGGGTTGGTACACCACACTGCATCGCAGACTGGTACACTAGTGCTACAGAGGGTTGGTATACCACACTGCATCGCAGACTGGTACACTAGTACTACAGAGGGTTGGTACACCACACTGCATCGCAGACTGGTACACTAGTACTACAGAGGGTTGGCACACTAGTACTACATCACAGGCTGGTATACTAGTGTAGTACTACAGAGGGTTGGTACACCACACTGCATCGCAGACTGGTACACTAGTACTACAGAGGGTTGGCACACTAGTACTACATCACAGGCTGGTATACTAGAGTAGTACTACAGAGGGTTGGTACACCACACTGCATCACAGACTGGTACACTAGTGCTACAGAGGGTTGGCACACTAGTACTGCATCACAGACTGGTACACTAGTACTACAGAGGGTTGGCACACTAGTACTGCATCACAGACTGGTACACTAGTACTACAGAGGGTTGGTACACTAGTACTACATCACAGGCTGGTATACTAGAGTAGTACTACAGAGGGTTGGTACACCACACTGCATCACAGACTGGTACACTAGTGCTACAGAGGGTTGGTACACCACACTGCATCACGGACTGGTATACTAGTGCTACAGAGGGTTGGTACACCACACTGCATCACGGACTGGTATACTAGTGGCTACAGAGGGTTGGTACACCACACTGCATCACGGACTGGTATACTAGTACTACAGAGGGTTGGTACACCACACTGCATCACAGGCTGGTATACTAGTACTACAGAGGGTTGGTACACCACACTGCATCACAGACTGGTATACTATCACTACAGAGGGTTAATACCTTGTGAATATGCGATGGATGGACTCAGTGCTGCTAGCTGGTGCATACTGCCTATCGAACTCAAAGCTGCGGGAGAAATGAAAGAGATGCGGAGTCAGTGAAAAGCCGCTAATACGATCAGCCGGGATTAACCGGCCGAACAAAGACCAGACTATCGAGATTTCGCTCACGCGCACGTGAGCGCGCGAAAACCCGGCGAAAACAAAATCGTGCGCCGCTAATTAATTTACAGGGCGGCCCCTTCGCTGCCTCCTTTCATCGTGGCTTCCCCGCTGTCACTGATGCGAAGGTAATGATTACTTAATCTGCAACGATGCGAGAGCAACGTCCCGGGAGTATGAACCCGCCTTAGCGCAGCGCTGTCGTCGCCTCGGATTAAGTCGCCCGTGAGAGCGCAATCTCGCGAGCGAACGCCTATTTTCTCTCCTGTTTTTCTTGCGCGTCGTGCACCGCACCGCCCAAAGTGCGCGCTGTACGCTCTCCGCGCCGTCGCGAACGAGAACGCGAACCGACTCGTCGCCAAATATGCCGAGTTAGCATGAAATACGACGAGCAGAATGCGCGCACCATCTAGCGGTCCTATGAAGATCGCATTAGACATGCTAGATGCAAGGTGTTTTGACAGCGGTACACCGAGGACGGCTACTCTCTCGCCAGATGGCGCCTTAGGTGGCATCCGACGTCACGTGAAATCGCACCCGATCTACATTGTAACGGCCGGCAACACGCGGGCGCGCACGCGAGAGCGGTAGCCCGCAGGTGACTCGCGTGAGATCGTTCGTAGCTAACGGCTAGCTCCTGCGTGAACGTTCGTTAGCTAATGATGTCGTCGAGGCCATGCCAAAATTCGTTAGCTAACGAGGCTTAGAGTCACAGCAGTTGTTAGTTGCAGCAATAGCATGCACGCTCGTTAACCAATGAAACACTCATTAGCTGACGACACGCTCGTTAGCTAACTAGCTTTCGACTCGCAGCGGTCGTTTTTCTGCCGCGAGGCTACACACGCCGTAATGACAGCCTCCGCAAACACGCTCATCAACTAACGACGCCCTCGTTAGCATCCGACACGCTCGTTAGCTAACGAAGCTTCGACTTACGGTGGTTGTTAGCTGCCATCAGCGCTGCGAGGTTGTGCATGCTAGAGCTGTAGGTCTGTGAGGGAGCGAGATCTCCCGCCGTGGAGCCCGCCGCTGCCATCATCGGTGCGCTCAGGCCTGCCAGATTAGCACCATGCAAGCCGACCGCTGCAACACACACACACGCATGGATTAGCTTCAATTAACCATAGCTACTCGCTTAGCCATCAGCAAAAGTGATTTTAGCTACCTATGTGCAATGGCTCTTTGGTAAGCTGCCCGCAATAGCTATGTGGCTAGCCATGTGTGTCGGCTGATCGGTTAGCTCTTCCCACTAGCTGTTCAATTAGATGTGTGTAATGGCTTCTCGGTTAGCGATTTTTGCAACGCGTATTCAAATAGTTGCTCACAACAGATATTTGTAACAGCTATTCGGTTAGTAATTTGCAATGCCTATTCAGTTAGCTAGTCACATCAGCTATACTATTTGTAACAAGGACTTTCTGACAAACAGCAGCCGCTATTTGGTTGGAGATGACAGGAACCGGAAACTCCGTGAAACGGCAGTCCTCTAGACATCTGTGCTACCCTAGCTACTCCTAACCCCAATGCTATCTATCCCAGTCCGTAACCTGAAATGCTACTAAATAATGGAAGCTACTAAATAATGCTAAAATGATTTCAGTGGCAGATAGACGGGTGACCAAAACTCCCTCACCCCGCCAAGTCCAGTCCGGTCCAATTACGCACGCTGATGTGATGAGAGAGTCACTGAAAGCTTCCCTGTTATGTACCTCAGTGACCCAATGAATTCATCCAGCACCGCAACATGTTTCACATTAATTACGCGCATATGACTTGACTACGCATGAATGAGCGCGCGGCCAAAATTGCCAAAAACCCATTTCCCTATTTACCAACCCACCCGTGAAACGCCGCGTTCGTTTAATGCAAACAAGAAACCATTACACGTGGCCAACCTGACCGGCCAGTCGATTAGATATGAAGCTTCTCGGTTGACAGGCTTCCCAAATCAGTATGTACACACTTGTGGATGCTGTACCTGGCTGACGTTGTACGGCCGCGCTAGGGTGACCCAGTGGCACTAGTGCGGCAGAGTAAGATTGGTGTAGTATGGCAACAGTAGTACGTCATAGTGGAACTAGTGCGGTAGGGGTGGCACTTGTGCAGTAGGGGGGTGGCACAGCTGGCTTTAGTACAGAGGCTGTACATAGTGTGCCATGGCAGTGCGGTAGGATGGCACTCTTGTGGCCACAGTGGCACAAGCGTGGTACAACGTCGTCGGTGTAGTGCGGAGACACCGGCGTGCCGCGTCGGCACTAATGCGTGGTACTCCCGCACCAGTGAGTGCCTGTTACCTGTAGTATTACCTGCGTAGTCGTACCTGTGTTATTACCAAGGTGTGCGGCGAGCGAGTGAACGCCTAGCGAACCCATCGTGGGCGAGCCAAGTTGATGCAGCGTTGCGTAGTTAGCCAGTGTTGGGATCGTGTTGGAAGCCTGCAACATGACAATGACAATGTTGGTATCGTGTTGGAAGCTTGCAACATAATGACAATATGTTGGAATTTGTGTTGGAAGCCTGCAACATAATGGCAATGACAGTGTTGGGATTGTGTTGGAAGCCTGCAACATAACGACAATGACAGTGTTGGGATTGTGTTGGAAGCATGCAACATAATGGCAATGACAATGTTGGGATCATGTTGGAAGCCTGCAACATAATGGCAATGACAATGTTGGGATCGTGTTGGAAACCTGCAACATAACGACAATGACAATGTTGGGATCGTGTTGGAAGCCTGCAACATAGCGACAATGACAGTGTTGGAATCATGTTGGAAGCCTGCAACATAACAACAATGACAGTGTTGGAATCATGTTGGAAGCCTGCAACATAACGGCAATGACACGTTATAAACGGTGGTGTGTGTAAGGGTGTGGGAGGGTACGGGAGCGTGTGAGGGTGCCAGGGTCTTTGTACTGCATGAGGGTGTTTCACACCGTTTCAGTGTGTGTCACGCTCTGTCAGGGTGTGTCAGGGTCTGTCAGGGTGTGTCACGCTCACCCTGACAGAGCGTGACAAACCCTGACATTGACAGACCCTGACAGTGTCAGGGTCTGTCAGGGTTTGTCACGCTCTGTCAGGGTGTGTCAGGGTCTGTCAATGTCAGGGTTTGTCACGTTCTGTCAGGGTGTGTCAGGGTCTGCCAATGTCAGGGTTTGTCACGCTCTGTCAGGGTGTGTCAGGGTCTGTCAATGTCAGGGTTTGTCACGCTCTGTCAGGGTGTGTCAGGGTCTGTCAATGTCAGGGTTTGTCACGCTCTGTCAGGGTGTGTCAGGGTCTGTCAATGTCAGGGTTTGTCACGCTCTGTCAGGGTGTGTCAGGGTCTGTCAATGTCAGGGTTTGTCACGCTCTGTCAGGGTGTGTCAGGGTCTGTCAATGTCACGGTTTTTTATCACGCTCTGCCAGGGTCTGGGTGTGTAATAGAATGTGAGGGGTGAGATGAAGTGAAAGAAGCGTGAGGATGCGTAAGAAAGCATGAGAACGAGGCTGAGTGTTTGAAGATGGCATATGCGATTGCATGCCTGCGAGAGCAAGAACGTGAACGAGTGAGCGAGTAGGTAATTGAATGAGTGTGCGGGAGCTCGCAACCAAATAAGCGTGAGAGCGAGAGGGGAGTGAGGATTGAAAGAGTGAAGAAGTAAATTAACCCTCACCGACTGACTGATCACAACCAATCGATCGGTTAACGCAAATGATACCGATCCCCTATCACTTTCGCATGCAAAAAAAAAACTTCCCAGCTAATCGCCCAAGTCACAAACTTAGTTCTGCATCAATGAAAGCAACTCTAGCTCTTTTTTGCAGCTCAACCCCAGCCTTCCGCATCTGTTTTTTTGACGCAGTTGTAGTACGCGCTTTTTCCCTCCCCGGCTGTTGCACTGCAGAGACGCGCGCGCGTACCCGTATACTATTTCCGCCTCGTCTGTCAACACCGAATCTACGGAGCGACGACGGCAGTAGACAGTTCGCGAGGATTGCGCGCAGACGACTGTGCAACAACCGACGTCACGCGGTGACACAACGGCCGACGTCACGATGACGAAGCAGCCGCCGACGTCACGCACAGACGCAGGGAGGCAATGACGATGATGATGGCGGCGTGGCGATGATTTTGATGTCGTTACGACGGCGAGATGCCGGCGTGGAGATGCGTGGCGTGAAGGACTCGCAGCTCGTGGCATCTCTGCTCGCCTTCCACCCACGCCCACGAGCTCTCTTTCACAGTCCTCAACCCCCCTCTAGTCAACCAGTCAACCCGTCTCACTCTCAACCCCTCTCACCTACACGCTCAACCCCTCCCACATACACTCTCAACCCCTCCCACCTACACTCTCAACCCCTCTCACCTACACTCTCAACCCCTCCCACCTACACTCTCAACCCCTCCCACCTACACTCTCAACCCCTCCCACCCACACTCTCAACCCCTCCCACCTACACTCCCAACACCTCTCACCCACCCCTTCAACTCTTTATACCAATCCCCTCTTACCTAAACCTTTTCACCGATCGCCTCAACACTGTCACATCTCCCTCTACATCTTTCACCATCCGTTCTCTCTACATCTCTCCGCCATTCTTTCTCCCCCACCCGTCTCCGACCCTGCCTTTACGCTCAGTACGCTGACTCACGTTTTGCACGCACTGTTCCCGATTCAACTCCCTGGAGATCGGTGTACGTTTGAGCTTTTAGAATTTCGCGAGAAAATGTACAATAGTCAATTGCGAGAACGCGAGTAACTTCCTGCGAACGTTGACTCCTGCCTGCGCGCGATTCTGTGTGAAAAAGCATTTATAATAATTACGCGAAAATGGTCCTGAATTCTGCAAAATTGACCATCAATCGCAATTTTTTAGATGAATGCTGGGGGTTTTGTGTCTAGCGAGGTGAGAAATGTTGCAGCGTGAATGAGCTGAACTGTCACATTCTGTGATGTTTTAATGTATAGAGAAGGCATTTTCTTTACAGCAGGGACTAGGGATAATCTGAAAGAAGGATTCAAAGTCGCACCCCACCTCACACATGATACAACTCCACCTCACCTTCTATTCGCCTTTAGTATATGTTCTATGTTCTTACAGTAAATGTTAGCCTCTTACAGCCCAGTATTTTATTAAGTATTTTATTATCCATTACTTTATTATCTCATTTGTAATTTTACATAGATTATACACACACAAACACAAATGCATGCACGCGCACGCACCAACGCACGCACGCATGCACCAACGCACGCACGCACGCACCAACGCGCGCACACACGCACCATATTTATTAACTTATCATTTTAAAGTAGCAGTAGTAGTATGAGTAGGAGTATAAGACACACGATTATATCTAGCAAGTCCCCCAGCTGACCCCACGCTCGCTCACCCCACGCTCGCTCACCAAGTATTGCGGAGGTACGGTCGCTAGGCCGGGCAGACTCCACATGCTGCCTCCCATCTGCTCCTGGATCTTCTTCTGCTCCTTGTCCTTCTGCGTGTCCGCAAATTTGACGACCATCGGTGCAGAGCAGCCCTGTAACAAACAACACGCACGGTGTGTCACATGTCACCCTCCAGCGGTCGGCTGATGCCAAGCCTACACGCTTACACGGGGCAAATTTACCTTTTCCGGGGACAAGGTGAGTGTTAGTGAAAATATTAGACAGTGGCAAGTTGGAGAGACAGCAAGATAAATTTGAAGGAAACCACGGTAAGTTGGAGGGACAACAAGGCAAGTTGGAAAGACACCAAGGCATGTTGGAAGGACACTAAGGCACGTTGGAAGGAAACCAAGGCAAGTTGGAAGGAATCCAAGGCAAGTTGGAAGGAAACCAAGGCAAGTTGGAAGGAAACCAAGGCAAGTTGGAAGGAATCCAAGGCAAGTTGGAAGGAAACCAAGACAAGTTGGAAGGAAACCAAGACAAACATTTCGCTCAAAGAAGTATTATTAGAGACACATACTTCTCAATAACTTGCCTTGCCTAACTTTTTAGTGAGGGGATAAAGAAGGATACATAATATGGTTACATGGCATTAACAAAAAGGCCACTAAGGCACAACGGGTAGAAAAGCCACGGCTTTTTTATTGCCGTGAATAATTGCCAATTTTCAGGGGCACCACGGCAAGTAATGGGATAACTACGGCAAGTAAAAAGGCCAACTATGGCACTTGCCTTCGATGCTGTGGTGATCGAACCCTGCACCCACACCTGGTTTCGAGAATGGGCCCAAATCTTATGACCGATCACCGGTCACAGAACATGATCGATGATCAATGAACCGTTGATAACTTACGATGATAAATTAGGGCCTCGAAAATATTAGCGAGAATCTGGTATTTTACATTTAATTGGTCTCCGGTGATGCCAAACAATTGAAAATGATTAATGGAGTGGATTTAAAACAATAACAAAGCTATTCCTTTATAATTGTTTGGCTAGTGACGATTGCATCAATCAAAGGTATTGCATATTTCATGGTGCCAAGCGATATTCCACTCTAGGTGTGAAAACCGAGTGAAACTCAATCGTGAAATCGCCAACTCAATTAATCAACGCAGAAAACAAACAAGCACTACTTGTCCATTAATCAGAACGATCACTATCTTATCTGCTGAAAAATCTACCAAAAAAATATTGCATCGTATTGCGTATACAACAGAATACACGAAAATACGCTAAAACTGAGATGAAAATCTAAAGTCATGATAACTGCCCAAATTAAAAGGTTTCTGTGCATCTGCGAAAACTCTACATGGAAATCCACGTTCTTTGTGTTTACTTCGATTAGTACATTTTTCTCAACGAGATATTTTTCCTCGATCTTCAACAGAGCAATAATTAGCAAACCATAACGTTATCGTAACCTTGCTTTGTCCTGCTAATGAACCCAGTCGCTATCCAGCATTGAAGCACCTCCACACACCCGGTGTCAATCACACCTGCTCAACACAACTCCCAACACGCTCTAAACGTGTGAGAAAAGAAAGACCAAGGTAGTCAGTCCTACACGAGCCTGCCACCGCAAGCGGTTGGCCATGTGTCTACGACATGTTCACGTACGCGTTTTAGATTTGCTGCGAGGTGATATATCACGGCACTCGTCGTTATGTATTTATATTTACATAGGTGCGCTGCATCGCACACAGATGGCCGTGTTTAAGAGTGATCGGCAGTATCAGGTTTTCACGCTGCGTAATGTAATAGCATTGCGAAAATCAGACGTCTGCAGGCGACGAAAAAACCACAAAACATTGTAAAACTGAATGATACGTCGCGTGAAAAGCGTCGAATGTGTGTTGTTACGAAAAGGCTACGGTTGATTTCAGGAAAGTGCATTTTGATAGCACAGTTTTGGCAGGTAGCTTAAAAATGATGACAATTTCCTTTTGGGGTGTAGATTGCAAATTTAGTTTTTTTTGCGAGCAATATTACTTAATAATATACACACACACTCACGCACGCAAGCACGCACGCACGCACGCACGCACGCACACACACACACACACACACACACACACACAC